TCGAGTTTTCAACTCAAAACCTTTTTCAATTTTGTGCATGCATGATTAGCACATGAGAAGCAAAACATCTTGAAGTCACAACCATGTGTACATACTCTCATGCAAACATGCCTCTCGGCCAATCAGAACGCGTGTACTATCTTAGTCATTTTATAAATAATAATCCAAGCCACCCAATAAAGTCATACAACTGGGAAATGACAGACATAAACTAAACAATTTTGCCAACAGTCAGGTCCAAGGTTGTGCTCTAAAGAAAAAATGAAGGGAGTCTGGTGATCTGATCCTGTGAAATCTAGGGTGCTCAGCAAAGGATTTCTATTCTCTAGTTACCCACAAGCAAAAGTAGGGTGCTAGAGTGGCTGCCAGGCTTTGCTTTGCTAGAGCACAGCCTTGAGGTCTGTGTGTCAGGTTTTTCATTATGTAAGTTATATTACAGATATTTTTTATCAAATTTCCTTTTTTAGAGCTTTGTAAAGACATATCATGGGGAACTAAGAGAAAATGTGTTTAAGAGTTTTTGTCATAACTCAAAGTTGAAGTATAAGATACACAACCATGCATGCAGGCTTCAGATATCTTATATCTGATTGAACTAAAATCTCAAAACAATCAGTATTTTTTTCTTATTTGTGAAACTCACTTCATCTGCCAGCCACTCATACTAGCCAAATTAAAACCTGTGAGTACAATACAAGCTTTGGAAACAAAGTTTGAAGATCCGTTTAATAGTCTGGGACAATAAAAAACATTTTTGGTGCCTCAAGCTTGTTGCCAACTTCTGAAGTGTAGATACAAACAAACCTCCTACAAGTGGTATAGACTCATTCTCCTTGCGAGAAATGGGTGATGAGATGCAAATTACAGCTAATGCAAGGGCATCAATGAATGATGAATGTGGTGCTACAGCAAGAATAGGAGCCTCGTCAGGGCTACTAAGTCGGCCTTTGACTTTGATCCAGTGAAAACCCATGCAGAACAGCATTGCTCGTCCAATACCCCGTAGTGGCTTCCTCATAATCCTGAATAGTTTGAAAAGAAACACGTAGGAAATAAGGCCGATTTACACAGTACAAGTTTGTCACAGTCATGTGATGGGCTCTTTCCTAAGCTACGGCCATAATTGTACTATCGAATCTATGACATTTGCTTGCCACTAGACCTTTAACATTTGACAAATACTGGATGCACCTCATTTCCTGCTTAATCCTACCCACCATAGTGTACCGAAGTGATGACGTCATAAAAATGAAATTTGCGAAATTATGGGATTTGTTAAGATATTCTGAAAGAACAACGTCCAAGATGCCTACTCGCCAAAAATTAGCAATTTGGGGCAAATTGTCTCTGAGATATTAGCCCAGTTATGCTGTGACGATTCCATACAAATCCTTCTAAATTTGGCTTGGTTCATAAGATTAGGAACCAGGTAAGTTTTAGAAGGATTTGTATGGAGTCATCGGAGCATAACTGGGCTAATATCTCAGAGACAATCTGCCCCAAATTGCTAATTTTTGGCGAGTAGGCGTCTTGGACATTGTTCTTTCAGAAAATATTAACAAATCCCATAATTTCACAAATTTCATTTTCTATGACGTCACACTTCGGTACTCTATTGGCATTGCATGGGACAAAATTTAATATGCTGTACAGTTAACCTTAAGACAGACCAAGCACACTTTTTGTCTAAAGTAAATAAATATTATATTTCACTTGCATCATCAGCATATCGTTCTGGAAAACTGCAAAGTACGGTATCCAATCCCAAACCTTTGAAAACATTATTTTATGATAAGTATGTCACAGTCATTTTTGCCTTTCTTTCCATCTAGAAGTGCATCTCAAAATGTTTGTTGCAAGGTCTCAGTTTTTCAAACAAGGGTCTCAGGTATCTTGTCTACAAGTCATCCTTAAACATAAATAATTTGAAATATATGCAGAGCTCTATTAATAACCTTCTGTATCCTGACAAAGGTTTAGGCTCTTCCTCTTTTTTCATGCATACAGTAGCTAGTGTTCCTATTAAGCTTGCCAGAAGAAGCAGAAAAAACAAACAGAGAAGCCTAATAGGAAACAGAGTAAAGCTAAGAATTGCAACCTGGAATGAAAATATTGTAAAACAAAAAAATTAGTATGGCTGCAATGAAATC